CACCCTTACTTAAACATTTTTGTCTGTTCCTCATCCAATGAGATACCCAGGTGCTCCTTTTTCACCTTCTTGGCTCTGATGACCTCTGTGAAGGCAAGAAGGGCTCACTCCTCACTGGTGAAGCCATATACTTCTTGGGAAGCTGTTATATTTCATTATTCTTTTTCACAGCAACATTAAGTCAGGCCTGCCTTTGAGTAGCCAGTGATCTTTGAAAATGCCTGATTTTCTCTGGAACAGAAAATGAAAATCAGAAACAAAACCTATGTCAGGGTTCGATTAAGACATGATGAAGCAATAAACTATGTCCAGTTTAAGAGGCTCATAACATTAGATTCATAAAGCGTATTGTTCAAACATAAACAGAAATGAGGGTTATTTAGAGGCCTCTCAAAATCTGAGGCACTAAACTGAAGTTTTTTGGCTAGTGTGGCCATGTCCATACAACTGCTTCTCATGCCCCAAGTATCATAGCATAAACTTTATTGAGGTCATACAGCAGCCTCTGGCTCTGAATTTCATAATGTAGTTTACAACCTTGCCTGTGTGTAGGAACTGTGTGTAGAAAAGCAGCAATATCCCAGAATCCTGCCCTTCCCAGTAGACTCAGGCAAAAGCAAACTGCTGCCATCTTTGCATGTGTGTTCTTCCTCATTAATTACTTTTGCCATCTTGATCACATTCTGATGTTATTTTGTCACACTTGTGCTGGGTTTCATCTTTGGGACAGTATACTATTATCATTTTGGCTACTTCTATTATTATATAACTTTATTTCACACCCTCTTCCCAGCCCATCGAAAGATGCAACTAAAATATTACTGCACTAAAACCCAAAAAATTAAATATAAATTATTAATAGAGCTAAACTCCATTAACGAGTATGTGCATTTTAAAGAAGCAAATATGGACAATGTGAATTTGAAGGTTTTCACGGTTGGCATCCATGGGTTTTTCCCTTCCACCCTGAGGCCTTGCCATTCAACAACAGAACAATACACAGTTTAACATGCAGATCACATCCTCTCAACCAAGGGTCACACAGTATATATATACCCCACTCACTTCCATGCCACCATTCTCTGAAGATGCCAGCCACAGATGCAGGCAAAATATCAGGAAGAAATTCTCCTAGACATGGCCTTACAGCCCAAAAAATCCCACAAAAACCCACAAATATGGACAATACAGTCGGCCCTCCATTTTCGTGGGGGATCCATTCTGGAACCCACCCACCCCCCTCCACACCCCCAAAAATGGAGATTCTCCAATATTCAAGCCCCATAGGTTTGAATGAGGCATGCACCCCATTGATTTTAGCAGAGGTCGCCCTTCTGTGAATATGCAAAACCGGGGACTTCAAGTCCACAAGAACGGAGGGGCGACTGTATAGCACATTATTAAAAATGTCTTTCCCCATAAGCAATTAGTTGCCAAAGGCCTGCTGAAACTAAAAGCATATTTACTCATCTAATTATTGTTCTATTTCCAAGCTGGCTAAAAAGCATAAGTCATAAAGAAGACCTAAAGCAGGAGTCCACTTCTGTTCATAGGAGCCTGATCCTTGAAAGGTGGTCCTCAGCTTTTAAAAACACAGTGCCTGCTGTTTTAGCACCATCGTGTGGTGTGCACAGAAACGAAAAACCCGGAAATGAAAATAAGTTGGTTGCTTTTTCTGGAGGAATTCAAAAAATTTAGTGGGCAGTGGTGGGCAGACTTGAGCCTGGCAAGACTAACTGCTTTCCAGACAGAGAAACTTCAGGTCCACTAATGAGAATCAGGAGCAAAACAGTGAGGCAGGATGGCAAATATGTAAACTTGAAAACAAGATCCCTCTGAGCACATGCTTCACCAAGGATTTATTTTCAGTACCAGAAGTGGAGCCCTCACAGGCTACTTTTCACAACCAAATCTCCGGTTTGGTCCCAATTTTTCTTTCATGTAGAAATCCATCCCTCTTTTGCCCCAGCCTTTATTGAATTCAGCTGCCATTGTTTGGACCACAACTCCCATAATTTTTCTGGGAATTGTAATCTTAGAAATATTTTTTTTCCAAGTTCTGCTAAATTAGGAGAGAAAATAGGCTCTTGTGTTCTTTGGAACTGATAAACTATGAGCCATCGTGGCATTAGTGGTTTGAGTGCTGGACTACAACTCTGGAAAGCAGGGTTCAGTTCCCAGCTTGGCCATGTAAATCCACTGGGTGACCTTGGGCAAGTCACATGCTCTCAG